TAATATGCATTTTAAAGCTTATTAAAGAACTTGTTATTTATTAATGGAGCTGAAATTCAAGAGACACCAAGGCCCTGTCGCTGTAGTTAGCTACATTTGTATTAAATAAGCTTTAATGTAAAATATCCAAGGAACGCTTCCAGGTCTTTGAACACCTGCATGCACAAACTGTCGTGCTGGTGATAGTGTTAATAGGAAAAAACTGAAATGCTGAGAAGAATCCAAGGCGGGCTGGCAGGTAGTCAAAGACACATTTTAATCACTGCTGAAAAATAACAACAAACAGCACAGTGATGGCAGGAAGCCTATTAGACTAACAAGGTCAAAAATAAGAACAAATCACAAACAAGGAAGTCAACTGGAGAGACTACGGTGATTTGGAAACAAAAGAGAGGCTTGAACAATACATGATAAAAACTGAGAGAGAAGAGCTATATCATATACACAAATCCAAAGAGAGGGATACTATGGCGCAGGATGGAGGTAAAAACAGAAATCCACATGAAGGAATTATGCAGCACATTTAATACCGTAACAGCAATCAGTAAAACATTAGAAATACATAACAACTAAAAAAATAATAAAAGTGAAAAAACAAGCTTAAAAAGGGTGTAAGTTATAAACCACATGGGAGCCAGTAATTACAAATAACAATGGAACAAAAACTAAAAGCTACACACCAGTGAAACTGTTTGTGCTGTGCTGGTACTCTGGAAGGTTAATGAAGCCACAATAAACTGAAATTGATGCAAAATTAGTGATACTTGTGCTCTCCGTGTACATAAAGTTGCCAAACGTTCACAGCTGTTTTTAATAAAATCAGAATTTCCTGATACTTAAAGTTACAACTATTTTCTTATTCGTTTAAATGTGGGCTTAAAAAACTGTCCAAATTTATTATAATGATTATAATTTTGACTTAAAAAAAAATAGTATTTTTGGAATGTTACATTTTTTACCATGTTCAAGGTTCAAGGTTCAAGGTTAAGGTTTGTGTGGTAAAACCACAGAAAAGTAAGAAAGTACCCTGAGTAGAAGGTACAACATTACCTTGAAGCTTTTTGGGTGGATTACTCTATTTTCTAAGAGTGCATTGCTCAATTCATCAGACCAAGTCCATCCACACCATCACAGACGTTCTTGTAACCAAAGTTGATTAAAGGAGATATGAAAACAAAAGTGATTATAATTAGTTGAAAGTAACTGCAGATTCTCATGTAGGTGTTGTGATCACAGACCAGCATCTCTTTGAAGGTGCCATTGATGAAAATGTGATTACAAAGTAAAGCTGCTTTAATAGGCTTTAAGGGTTACTTGAAAGTTGTATCAAAAAAAGTTCCCCAAAAAATATTATAGACCCAATGATAATTTAGAATCATGCAGCATAGACACAGATGTGAAAATTGAAATTTGGAAGCTTTTGCTGTTTATATTTACATACAAATTAAGATACATGGTGAGTTTACATTGGTATGCTGCTTCCTTGGGCACCAGATTGCAAATGAACTTTGACTGCAAATGAATTTTGACTTAACTTTCAGAGTTCCCTTTGAAACGAAACCAGCAAGAAGTCTTTTGGTAGACTAAGTGGCATATCAAAAGAAGCATGGAGGAGAAATTATATTATATGCTAATGGAAGGCAGCTCCTGGGAGCAAAGGCTTACATTTGGCAGACAGAGAACAAGTTTTCTTTCAGAATGCGTATTAATCAAACTCATCATCATAGCATCTCAAAAGGAAAAGTACATCAGTATTCATACATAAGCACATGTAATAAGCACATGCCCTGCAGGATTTTTTTTTTTTGTGGAAACATGACTAAATTGAGCATGCGGAACACAAGAAGCAATGGTTGGCTTATTGACACCACTTAAAATAATATGTTTGTTTGTGTCGCTACAATAGACACTCACAGTCAATGTCTGAATTCATCTGGCAGTAATCGCAGCAACAGGCTGCAATCATTTATAGCTCAATGCACATGTTATGTATTTCACATGAAGTGTAATAATCTCTGTTGTTTCAAATTTAACCAGTTTTGCAGTCAAATATTTCTTCTACATGAAACCATTTAATTTACTAGAGACAATATAAAAACCTTTGCTGTGCTACATCTAGTAATGGCTCATTATCTAGCACTCTCTGCCTTGTATGACATGGTAGCTTTAGGCTCCAAAGACCTACCATGGCAGCTAAAACGTTGACAGAAAAGCTTCAATATGTGAACTCCAAATTCACTAGCTGACATCACAGAGGATATGAACATCTTAATATACAGTTCTTTGTCTGAAGTATGGTGTTGATAAACCAACTGTGGACAATTAGTTTGGTAAGCTAATGAATTTAGCTATTAGGAAAGTTAGCTTGGCAAAGCATAGCTAACATTAGCTTTCTAGCAAGCTAATTGTTTCAAACAAAATAATGACACTCACAGTTTAATGAATTTCCCCTATTCCTCTCTTATATATTTGCATGCTCTCAAAATACTTTAGCCCAAAACAATTTTAGTGGACTAAAACCGAAATATTAGCACTTGCATCACACTGTATTCAGTGTCAGGATGCAGCTTCCTGCAGAACCCTCACACTTTCTTGCCAATATCTTCTTTTGTGTCATGAAAGACTTTTTTTTTCTCATAAGCTCATAACACGTAGATGTATGTTCTTTACTACAAAATCACTAGGAGTATCTATGGTGTGGATGGGGCTGTCTTTATTCTAATGAAGTCCTACTAAATTTATCTGTCTTTTAAAATTTGTCGCCCTTGCATGGTCGAGTAAAAGATAAACCATGATAAAACAAAACACTGCAAAACCATCTAAATTTCTTACCTAAGCCATATTAATGTGTGTGTGTCTTTCCGTGCATTATAGAAGTAGAAGAGCATGTGTGAAATTTGGGTTCTCAAGCTAATAAAATATGAATGACACTTTGGTATTGTTTTGAGTAGCTGCCCAAGCATTTTAATAGAAAATCTGTGAAAAAAATAATAAAAAACTGATAAAGCAGACCACCATGTAATGCAAATAGATGACAAGCTATATTTGTGTGTTTCACTGTGGAATTATGTTAAATTAGTGTGAAATGAGAATCCAGTGAGTCAGGCCTTTGCTACAAAAAAAAACAGAGACAAATGTATGAAGGGCCCTTTATAACTTTAGAAGCAAATGGTGCCCAGGACAAAATGGAGGTTAAGTATCCTCGACAGGTATGGCCTCATGAGCAATTTATTCAGGCTTGGTGGTTCAGGAGAAAACCCGATTAACCAGCAGGTTGTCCTCCAGCCTCATAATTATGGAGACACCCCATTTCCAGCAGGCAGTAGAGAGGGAAGTCCATTTTGAATATGCACTGCATCACTCAGTAACTTATTACATTCAACTGTGTGTAATATATATGTTTAACTGGAATTGGAAATAGTATTTGGTGTATGAATAAAGATATTCACACTGAGAGACAGCTTCTTCCACCAGGCCATCAGACTGCTGAACACGTCATAGACACCTCAGCTTCACTACTGAAACTTCAACATTATGCACTCCATACTGTACAGTAATGCCACTGTTTTGCACATGTCTCAACTCTGTATATTTTTATATATTTTATTTATTGTTTACTCTATTTAATTTGTAAAATATGTGTACACACACACACACACACACACACGCACACACACACACACACATAGAAAAATATTTAGTATACACATCCAGAAATGCATATACTATTATATATTGTACATATATTTATTAGTTTCAGATGTAGCGATTCTTGTATTTTGCTTGTTTACATTATTGTATTTTGCACAACTCTGTTGCTTGTGAAGCTCGCACACAAGAATTTCACTCACATGTGCTGTACCAATGTACCTGCACATGTGATGTGACAATAAAAGTGATTTGATTTGATTCACACCCTTTACTTACAATAGAAATACCTTTTTCTTTATTTAATATGCTTATTTCACTATTTACTACAAAAAGTCAATCAATAAAGCATAAAATAAAAATAAGCACACTGAAACCTTTGAACTCTTTTTAGTATATGACATAGAAAAGTGTTACAGTGAGATTATTGGGTAAATGCCTCTTTGCGTGCAGGTCATGAAGCGGAGGGAGAGTAGAGCATGCTGGCAGCACACTGACAGATTGGATAAGCCCTTCCAGCCTGCCATCCCACAGGGGGTGCGCTTGTATATGTGTGTACGTGCATGTGTCAGTCGAGCTTCACAAAATGTTAGCATCAGTAGTTTGCTCAACACCTAGGAGAGGATGTGTCCAATTTTGTCCCTAGACACCTTTGCGTGGGGTCTAGAACTTGCTCTTGAAATAGAAAGTATCTGACAAGCGCTATTAATGGAACTGCTTTGTTTTAGGTTTGCATACTGATTTGGCACTGTTTTGGGGTTTTTTTTGCCTGTTGTCATGCTGAATGCCAAAGTTGCTTGCAAAGATTTCGTTTGTACACTAAAGCTTTTTTGTTTCTCCTGCCTGTTTGTCATCGTGTTCCATCTCTGTACCAGTTCAAATACAATTTCCAGATAATTAGAGGTGTTTGTTTTAATCAGCATGGAGTGACGCTTACAGCAGGGAAATGCTAACTGACTACTACATACTGCCACAAACTATATTCTACATTTGCAAATGTATGCATGCATAACGCACAAAGTCTAAAGTTACATCTGATTTCTTTATATTTTGATACACAAATAAGGAGGGAAAGTGCAGCAATTTATTGAACAATTTATTTGACAGTTAATGCAAATACAGTATTGTAAGGCAAAAAGAGAGTTTGTGCAATTCTAACAAACTTGAAAGTCAGTATTTGGTGTGACCAGACTCTTTGGAGGCCAATCCACGTGTAACCAACTTTAAGGTATAAAGGTGAATTACAGCGCAATAATTACTTGGGCTCGTAATAAGACCCTGGCCAGAATCAGAAGACACCAAATTCGTATGGAGCCAAAGTATTGAGCAGCAATAATGACCTGGACACAATGTTAACTTTTGAGTAGCCACTCTTGTATTGTTACAAAGTATAACAGGTATTTGTCCAATTTGTACAGATAAAGTATAAAATAAAATAAATAGTGTGCACACTCAACAAAATAAAAGTACTCGTTGGGGCCCTTTAAGAATTTAGAGTTAAGCTGGCGATAGCCAACTTCAAAGGTCCTTGTGAATGTAACTGGAATGTATGAGTGTGTGGTGTGTATCTTCTTTGGGGTAGATCGTCCTCAAAGTGGTTGGCTCGCCATCTATCACAACCAGAATATCGTCCTGGTCCTTGGACTTTTCCGTCCTCTCCAAAAAACCTGACCTATAATCCAGGTCATAAAATGTACATTCTAATCAGTCTGTTTCAGATGCACTGTTTAAGGTTAAAATACAAAATCAAAATATTGCATCACCTCATATTCATTGCATCAACATCTTAAATCTTATCAAATCTCACAGTTCTGTTGTACAACATTCAATTTTCAAGCATATCAAATATGAGAACTAAACATCTAAGTTGCTCAAATATTTCTCTATTCATGTAAACATTAATTAAACAATACTTATGGTAAGTAACCATTGACACTCAAAATACAATACACCATAACAAATTCAGAACTATGTGCAAATAAGCAACAAAATATACATGTGAGTTCAGTTCAGAGGCATTAAAGCAGTGTGCTTAATTTCTCCACACTATAGGCCTATTCGTGAGAGAGAAATGCACTAAAAATTACCCTCTAGATTACTTTAAACTCACAGTGAACTGACAAAAATTAGCTTTAGAGCAGCTAAGAACATGTTGCTCACCGTTGCTCTGTTTCACAAAAGCCCAACACACACTGGCGTTGGAATTGCAGCAGCTCTCCGGATGAAAGGTGAGTGGTTAGCCTGTGAGACACCGAGCTAGCATTAGCATGATCGCGACGGTAAGTCTCTACAAGTTTTTTCCATCAGAATAACACTCGTCTTACCGACGTTGCCTCTCTCCTTCATCCAGCCACTCGACTCCGGACTTCCAGCAGGTAAGTGCGCTGGCTTTCCTTCCTCTCAATCCTGAGTTTTCCTCTCTTTTGTCCGTGGATTTCTCGGTTTGAGTAGTAGATGCCTCCACTCCTCTTGCTGAGATGAGAAAAAACCCGGGAGCACCATGCACCTCCACTTCACTTCCTGGCTGACAGGGTCAATGCGGCCTGGGTAGGCTCTGATTGGTTGCTGAGCTAGGTGCCCTCACGTGGGGTGAACTGAGAGGTGCATTCAATGGTCATAGGAAATACGACGCTTGTTGATGTGGACAGTTAATGTAAAGAGAATAAGTATGATTTTTTTCCATCTGGGCTACACCTGACTAACAGTTTTCCACTGTGTCGGTGGAAACTGATGAACTATGATTTCCAGTAAATAGCTCTTTCTGAATCACCTTAGGAGTTAGGCCACTTAATACTAGTGTTGGTCAAGTTACTTGAAAAAAGTAATCAGTAACTAATTACTGATTACTCCCCCAAAAAAGTAATCCCGTTACTTTACTGATTACTTATTTTCAAAAGTAATTACTTAGTTACTTAGTTACTTTTTAAAAACACGATTTACAACCTGAAGAGGTGATAAAGCGATAGATCTTTCAGCCCAATTCTACTTTTTCTACATAATCCATCATACAAAATGTAATCAAATGGAAAAGTCTCTTTTTAAAACTTGTTTTATCAGTTTTAATCTTTTAACTTCATGCATCAAGCAAAACATTTAATTATATGCAACATTCTCTGACTTGAATAAATTAGTTTAACATTTAAACCTATTTTCTACACATTCCAGCACATAAAATAAAATATTTTTTGTGTTTTCACTCACTCTTTCAAACAGATGCAAGTAAAACACAGCAGAAAATAAAGTCAAAGACTCAGCGGTCCTTTTGCTCTATTTTCACCTGTAAAGCAGGAGCAGGGTAGGCGGAGGGTTACCCTGATGCAGGTGTGCTGCGGTCAGTTGAAGAATCCGCGCGAGTGTCTCTGTGAGTTTCCCATCACGTTGTAGCTACTCGGTGCTTGTTTGGAAGTTTAGGGTTTTTTTTCGCTGTAAAAAGAAGTTTTCTTCCCACGCACAGCGGACACTAATGTTTTTGTCACTTTTTATGGAATCAAACTCAAAGTAAGGTCAGTACTTCCACACTTTAAACGCTGCACGCTCATACTCTCTCCTGCACTCGATATATTATCCATTGTTGATCTGCACACAGCTGCTGTCACCAACGTCGCACTTGCTTACGTCACTGTCATGAGACATTCTCGCAAAAAAAATCACGGTTTTAGTAACGCAGTAACGCAGCGTTCCTACGGGAAAGTAACGGTAATCTAATTACCGATTTTGCAATAGTAATCCCTTACTTTACTCGTTACTTGAAAAAAGTAATCAGATTACAGTAACGCGTTACAAGTAACGCGTTACTGCCCATCTCTGCTTAATACTGACCTATGAATCATAAAAAAAAGGCTCCTAACACAGAGACACACACACACATACAAAACCTTCCTTAACACTAGGAAGGCCCAGAGCCCAGCCATTTGGCTTTTCTACCTTTAAAACCCGGAGAGCAGCCAAATGGCTTTTAGCTAAGCTTTAGCTTCAGCCAAGTGGAAGCTAAATTGGCTAGTCATTCATATGTATATTAGGTTGTTAGCTGGGAATTCTGGAGGGAGGGGAGTGGGGGTGTGTGATTGAGGGCGTGGGGGAGCTGCTAAAAGCTGTGCACTTCCTTTTGTGTTTCATCTTGATGCATTCTCAATCATCCAGGGAAATAAATCTCCAAAAGTCACCAACTTGGAGTGTTTCAGTTTGCCATCTTAGGGAGAAATCAACACACATGGGTGTATGTCCTTTGTTGCTGACATTTATTGATAAAAACAGTACAAAAAATCAACCATTTGTACACATTTTTACAAATAATTATAAAAAGTGACTGAGTACATTTCAACATTTTCAGCAATCACTCACAATCCTTTTACCACATGTGTGTCTGTAGCAGTGAACACATCGCACAGTGGCATGATTGTTCTTGCAATTGTGTTTGACCTGACACATGGCTCTTTTTCCAGGGCTCGGTGTGGAGGGTTGTGTCAAAGGCAACTGTTCTTTTCTTGCCTTCTTCGCAGCTACATGAGAGTGAGCTAACTCCCTTGCAAGCTCCACCAGGAAGTCCACCCGTCTTTCCTTCGTCCCGGAGCATGCTTGATACAGCACATGTGCATTCAGTGCTGCCATGTCAATCATGTTATAAAACACGGCAACTGGCCAGCGCCGTGTTCCTCTGCGGACAGTGTACTCCCGAACCATCTGGTCCATCACATCCACGCCACACTTTGTTTTGTTGTAAAGGGTGACAGTGTTTGGCTTTCTTTTGGTGGTGTTATCAGTCTGAACCACGCTGTGCATGCTGCTAAGAATGTAGACTGTCTTCTTCCGTTTGGCCGCATACGCCGTCAGCGTGGCAGCAGAGGTTGAAAACACCTAAGAAATAAGATAAATTGTTATTTCCATAGCACTTTTACACACAATGAAACACATAAACATAGAACCACAAAAGACCTGCAACATACCTGAGTGGTGAATTCATTCACTGTCTGTCTAGTGGATTGAGGAATTTCCCTGCGACTCTTGTTGACTGTGCCGAGGATGGTGGTTTTCCGTCTAAGAAGTTTTTGCACAAGTGAAAGCGATGTGAAAAAATTGTCCGTGGTAACATTTCTGCCCTTGTCTAGGAATGGTTCCATCAGCCTCATTACTACATTTTCAGAAAGTCTCTCCCCAGTGGGACGACTGGGGTCCTTGCCAAGATATGGGAAGACATTGCAAATGTACTTGGATTTTAGGTCGCAAGCCACCCAAAACTTGATCCCAAACTTGTCCGGCTTACTTGCAATATACTGCAGGAAACTGCACCGAGTCTTTGATGGGAAAAGCTGTTCATCAACGGTGATATGTAGACCAGGGTTGTAGCACGTGATGCAGTTGGTGACAAATGATCCCCACAAACTGGAAATTGCAGCGAACTTATCAGTCTTTGCTCGATCACTGCGGGTGGACTTGTCATCAAAGCGTAGGTGTTGCATAATTTCTTGGAAGCGGTTTCGTGCCATAGTTCCAATTATCTGTGGGTTTCCCAGGTTTGCTGACCAGCAGTCATTTAGAGATGGAACCCTGGTAACCCCCCGCAAGATGACAATTGCAATAAATGCCATTAGTTCAGGGAGGTCCATGAACCAATGAACATGCTCCGTTTGCTGTGCATGTTGAACAGTCCATTCTTGAATGCTACGAAGCATGTCAAGAGTGATGAAACACAGGAAGCTCCGAAGGCGACTCGTGATATTTCTCCTGGCCTTAGCCGTTGGCTCTCCATCTGCAGCGTACGCTTCTATTGGGGTGAAAGGGAGACAGGTCCCCACCTGTTCTTCACGCCACACTGTGCCATCTTTCGCTGTCTCAGTCCCCAAACAAGCTCTCTTTTTAGGTGCAGAAGCAGTCTCCTCATCTGCAGTGTGAACAAATTCAAATTGTGAGCAATGGGAAGGTCCAGTATCTCCTCCTCTGTATCAGAATAATGTCTGAAATATCTTACTTACAAACTACATCCACTTACTTATTTGAAATGAAATAGGAAATAACATGAAATGCAACTAACCGGAAGACTGATCAGACAGCTCTGAGTCCGAATCCGGCTGAACTTGTAGGTCTTCTCCATCCGAGTCACAAGGGTCGACTTCCCTCAGGATCATTTCCAAGGCCTGCTGAGTGGTGAGTCTTCTCTGCATTTTCTTTCCTTGGAGAGGAGGTCCGTACACCACAGAATTATTCAGGGCAATGAAGGATTAGGCTAAGTGTAGTGAGATTGTATCATATATATAGGGCTTGGCTTCCTGATCAATGCTCCACTACCAAAAGGAAGCCAAGCCCTGCCACCCTTTACAACAAAATAAGGTGTGATCACAGGGCTTGGCTTCCTTTTGGTAGTGGACAATTGATCAGGAAGCCAAGCCAAGGTAAATGCAGACTACAGATACCATGGCAGTGCCAGGATTGTGAGTGATTGCTGAAAATGTTGAAATGTACTCAGTCACTTTTTATAATTATTTGTAAAAATGTGTACAAATGGTTGATTTTTTGTACTGTTTTTATCAATAAATGTCAGCAACAAAGGACATACACCCATGTGTGTTGATTTCTCCCTAAGATGGCAAACTGAAACACTCCAAGTTGGTGACTTTTGGAGATTTGTTTCCCTGGATGATTGAGAATGCATCAAGATGAAACACAAAAGGAAGCTCACCGCTTTTAGCAGCTCCCCCACCCCCTCATCCACACACCCCCACTCCCCTCCCTCCAGAATTCCCAGGTAACAACCCAATTTACATATGAATGACTAGCCAATTTAGCTTCCACTTGCCTGAAGCTAAAGCTTAGCTAAAAGCCTACCAGCCATTTGGCTGGTGGCGGGTTTTAAAGGTAGAAAGGTAGAAGCCTGGGACTGCCAGTGTTAAAATGTTCAGGTACAAAGACTGGAAAGAAAAAAACTTTGAAAGTTCTTCAAAAAGCCTTAACTACTATTGCTCAAAACCACTTAAAATACCAAAAAAAATGGGTGTCGCTCTATATATGATATAGATACACATACATATTCATAGATATACTCTGTATATACTAACCCTAAATCTATATCTAGTTCTGTATATATAAAAGCTTGAGTGTTGAGTGTTGCTGTGTGATAATCACTACATGGAACAAAATGGAAAAACAAAAAAACAAAGTGCTGCAGTAACAAAAATGACTTGTCATTTGCATGGTATTCATTCTCATTTTCTCATATAGTCTGTATACAACTATAAGAAGGGTTACCTCGTTAAAGCCTTCACAGATAAAAGCCAAATATTCTTAAAAGACTTTGGTGACATATTGCTGCAATAACAGCTTTATTGACCGTTTTAATCGAACGTCTATAATTTGGACAACTTCACATCTCCAACAAATTGCTCCACTTTGTTTTTGTATCTCTACTTAATGACAGACTTGTGTTGCTGTGCGTGCCAGCCCTTTCCTTTATGTGTCCCTGCACCACCTACACACCTCTGGATTAGCTTTTCAACTGCACCAACCCTGCTGAGATCAGGCCGGGAATTCAATGCCAGTGTTGGGAGCTTTTATACAGTATGTGTGTATTTATTTGTCCCTGAGCCTGTCTGGGTGTCTGAGTGCAATATGATCTCATATTATTTTTAGGTAGCTTTTCCACTGTTTGCGT